CGAATAAGAATTTTAATAACACTTTTTTATCGATTTAGTAGTAGAATGCTTTAAGTAATATTCTTTCAATATTCTTATTGGTGGGAAATGGGCATCTAACACAGAAAACAAAACAACGACGTCCAAATAATAATAATAATATATTTATTTCAAATGGCAGGCGTTTTGATAGATATCATTAGCCATTTAGCTGACTTCGGGCTTCACAGAGGGAAGGTTCATCAAAGTAGCAGAAAGTCGAGGGATGGGGAACAGAAGAGCTATTTACAGATGTAAAAGAGGCAGACAGACACAAAGGTAGAGAAATAGGTAAGGTGAGTACTGTGGAAGGGGTCGAATATAACAACCAGGGCGGTCGTGGTAGCTTGAACTCAGAAGTCAACTGCCGGTTAATAGACTTTTTGCTGTATGAGTATACGTTGCCCAGGGCGCACCACGTGGAGGTATATAATAATAATAATATATAGAGTGCAAATAGGGTAATAAAGTGTTGTATTTGTGACAAAGCTTTTCAGTGCTGTTGAGGGAAAACATGACTTCAGGCTCATTGCACGTTCAATGCGCAAAATTTCTTTTAATGATAGAAAATTATGTCTTTGTCTTTTAGGCCACCGCTGGTTACGATCGAAATATTCGCATTTGGGTTCTGCGACAGAGGTACAACCACTACAAGAATATGCTACAACAATCAACAGGTATATATATGCTGTGTTTTCTCCTTTCTCTAATAGCCTGACTCTCTTCACAATTTCTTTCAATAGCAACTCAGCAGCAGCAGGATGAAGACAACTCATCAAATATTGGAAACGCCCTGATCGATGACCTTGACATTGACTCCGTTAGTATGACCTCTGTCTCTCTCTCCACGCAGGTGGATGTGAGTTTTCACTGTCTAACACCTATTGAATTGGTTCATGCCATCTATCTATCTATCTATCTATCTGCGTCAAGTGCTTTAAAACCCTATTGACTAATCTTAATTTTACCGAGTTGACTATGAGGTAGTTCCTCAACTGGAAAAAACTTTAAGCCATCTTCTCTGCTTAGAAATATTTGTTTTGTCATTATTGGTTAAATTAAATATTGAGTATTATAGGAGAGTAGTCCTTGGCTTTTATTTGCTTCTATTCAGTTGAGTTAGCAATATTTCGCGGTCCCCCAAAAAGGAACCCCCTTTAGTCTCAGTCGCTAATTTGCATGTAGCGGCGTTCCTTTCCTGCATTTGTTGGGGTGAACTAAGATGGTGTTCCGTATTCTCAATTCGCATTCCCCTCCATTGAAGCTTTAATCGGTGCATTCCTCGTAAATTACCCTCTTGGTTACTCAGTCATGTTTTTTTTTGCCAGGTCATAATTCCTAGATGTCATGTCAGCAAAAAAAGCTTGGTACTGATTGGTCCTCTGACACAATGATGAGACATTTCGGGGGATCAGTGCACAGTGCTGGAATTGGAGTTGGTTAATTTTGGCCACCAAGAGGACCGGTAGAATATGAGTATCTCGTAAGAGCTGTTTAGGGAGCTTAATATCCTATAGGTGGGATCTATTTGTTGTTTTTTTGTAAATATTCTGAGTCAAATCTATTTCTAAATCAAACTCAATGCTATTCTATTATTAATAGGACAGATATGAGTTTGCTTAGCTTGAGTAGTAAAATGGCTGTATGTGTATTTATTTATATCAAATGACAGGCGTTGTGATAGTTATCATTAGCCCTTTAGTTGACTTCAGGCTTTACAGGGGGGGGGGGGGGAACAAAAGTGTTGCACGCATGTAAAAGAAGCAGACACAAAGGCCGAAAAAAGGTGAGGTGAGTACTGCGAAGTAGTCGAATATGGAAACAGTAGGGGTCATAAGTCAACTGCCGGTTTCTAGACTCTTGCCGTATGATGAGTATACGTTGTCCAGAGTGCACCACGTGGAGGTATGTCTATCGTACACCTCTGGTTGTATATGTATAATATGCCATTATTTACTGATGATTGATTTGCGAATATCGTAAATTTATCTTCAGGATGGTGGAAGCTCCTGCAGTAGCTCCACTGGTCTTCTGGAGACAGTCTCGGTTTCAACCCACAGTCATGGCAAGGCCTCAAGCTCTGACCTTTTCTTGGTGAATAACGCTAGTGGTGGTAGCGGCGGCGGAGGTGGTGGTGGTGGTGGAGGGGAATCTCGTCGTCGTCGTGGTGCAGTTTCCGGATCCGCTCTCTACCACCCACAACCCCTCCTGGTTTATCGAGGTCATGAGGGCGTCATTACAGAGTTGGCCTGGTCGAAGAACCTCTTCCTTCTCAGCACTGGGATGGATAGGCAAGTTCGACTCTGGCACATATCTCGGCGCGAATGTCTCTGCGCTTTCAGCCACAATGACACCGTCCCAGCAATCGTATTTCATCCTAAAGTACGTTTGAATTCGAATAAATCTTCTCTCCCTCTCCTCTCCTTTTATCTTTCGTCTTTACGATGATTTTGCTCTTGAATACTTCTTTTTTCCCAATTGTGATTTGAAAAAATCCGAAGTCCGTTGTATTTTTGCTTTGTAGTCGTTCAGGGCGGTAATGATCTCAGAGATTTTGGATAAAATAGGGTATGCAGCAAGATGAGCTGTTCTTTTACGACTTAGTTTCTTAAAATTTGCTGTTTCATCTCTGGGCTTTCCTTCTTCCTGGAATTCGATTAATTGCCTCTTTATGAAAGTGGCAAGCTCACAATTGTAAATTCTCAATCATGTCTGAAAGATGGTCATCCTAGTTACCAGTTAAGATCTGTAGAGCTTTTACCGGCTTAAAACGGATATGGTTAAGGAATTCTTGTCCAACAGACACCTCAATATGGCGCATGTATAGGCACATTATCTTTATTAATGGAAATCAATATTTTCAATTGTCTTCGCGCAAAATGTGCATCTAATGTTCTCCGACCTTTTAGGATGATCGATACTTCCTATCGGGAAGCCTAGACGGCAAGTTGCGTCTGTGGAACATTCCAGACAAGAAGGTGCGTTTCTGGGTCGACGTGCCTCTGCCCTCTTGTCTCCCCTCGCCTCATTCAGCCCCCTCCGGCAGCTCTGCTCACTCGGGCGTCGGTGGAGGTAGCTTAAGTGGTGCAAGCAGTGGGCACGGTGGAATTGAGCCCAAGACTATCATCACGTGTGCCACTTTTGCTTGCGACAGCACCAAGGTGGTGGTGGGGAGTTATGACGGACGTGTCATGTTCTTTAACACAGAGGTGAGTTATTCTTCTTTTGATAAATAGACCTTAATTATCTGACAATCGTTATAGAATCGAAAATCGTGTTTCGAGTGCACAGTGTCTTCGTGAAATTCAAATTTATCTCCCATTCTCTTTACTGAGTTCATTGCATAATTCCATATTCCTATCCCTTTACCCCCAATATTTGTTAGAAAGTGCTCTCTCTCTCAGCGGGTTTGGGAATTTTAACGTTTGCGCTCTTGTCTCTACTTATCTCCCAATTTGCTGTAGCTCTCACTTGCTACAAAATTTCGTACGAATTTTCCCTCTTTCTACATCTCCCAATTCGATGTCACTAAAATGGCGGTGGTTTTTAAAATTGTCTTAGGATGGTGAAATGAATTACTTTCTTACTAATGGCTTAGAAAATGCATCCTTACTTGGTATCACATTGGGAATTATTATTATTACTTTCAGTTGACCTATATCACCTTCATTACGGTCAAGTCAGTCTCTGGACGGTGTCAGCAATGCCGAGTGACCGCCATTGAGGTCGATCCCACCGATTCGAACAAGGTGTGCCTTGAACTCTGCCCCCTTTGGTTAAAATGATCCATTACCAACTTTTCTTTTTTGTTGTTGTTCTAGATTCTAGTGACTTCGAATGATTCGAGAGTGCGATTGATCGACGCTAGAGACTATCATACACTATGTAAATACCGCGGTTTCCTCAATGAAACCAGTCAAATTCGAGCTTCTTTCAGGTATCATTTGTTTCTACTTTTCTCTCTTGCTGTCCTTGTTGTCAATATTCTATTTGGACGACGGTATTCATATAGCTATGACGATGTAGAAATCGTCTGGGGGAGTGAGGGGGGGGGGAAGAGGAGATTCGGCTTATGGCAATAATACCAACTTTTGGTGGTCTTTTAAATGTGCCGTATTATTTTTATAAACAACCCACTCAACGTGTTAATTCTAGTGCCCTTGACATAGCGAGTCTGTCCACAGTACAGGATCACTGTTTTCTCACAACCAATCGCATTCAGTTAGCATTTTCGCTTGTTCACCGCTTTCATTTGAATTACTTTGAGGTGAGCAGCATTCGTAGTATTAGAGACTGAAATTGACGTTATAGGCTGTTCTACCTATACCACCGTACTTTAGGTGTTCACTGGATGTTTCTAGGCTACGTTAAATAGATCCAGTGGTGTGGGAGGACGTTTAATCAATTATTTCTCGTCTTTACCACAACTCATATTCGCACTACTTATGTAATAAGGTGGGGTGTGCGATAGACTTACCTCCACGTGGTGCACCCTACAAGGGGTGTGCGATAGACTTACCTCCACGTGGTGCACCCTGGTGGGTGTGCGATAGACTTACCTCCACGTGGTGCACCCTGGGAAACGTATACTCATACGGTAAAAAGTCTATTAACCGGAAGTTTGTGTGCGATAGACTTACCTCCACGTGGTGCACCCTGGGCAGCGTATTTTCTTACGGCAAAAAAGTCTATCACTCGGCTTTCGGGTATACTCTTACGGCAAAAAAGTCGATTACCTGGCAGTTGACTTCTGACTTCAAACCACCATCACCCCACTGTATGCCATATTCGACTACTTCCGCAGTACTCACCTCACCTTTTTTCTGCCTTCGTGTCTGTCCCTTCCACATCTTTGAAACATTGTTCTGTTCCCCCCCCTCTCAACTTTTTTTTCATTTTGATGTTCCTCCCCTCTGTGAAGCCTGAAGTCAATTAAAGGGCTAATGATAACTATCAAATCGTCTGCTATTTGATACAATGTAATAAGGTCAAAAGGTCGGTAGTGGAGTAATAGTAGGTTTTGTCCTGATTGGTTGAAAAACGGTTCGTCCTCATTGATTAGGAAGATGGGTGGCTTGGAATTTCCCATTCGTTATTGAATATAAATCCAATCTCTTTGAGCTTCGTTCGTCGGTTTTCTCTGTTAGCATCATGTCTGCAGGATGCATGAAGGAGGGGGGGAGGGGGGGGAACCCTAGTGGCCAAGAGGATTGAGCATTACAAATTGATTAGAGTTGACTCAATTTCTACGCACACACCTTGCTCCTTCCTGATCGTTAGCTTCTGATGCTTCCTATGCATTCTGAACGAGGCAATTGCAATGCAGGGCTTCCAACTCGGTTTATCCATTTGTCCACGCCGTGGGAAACGTGTGCTGCACTTTGATCCCTCAAAGGTCTCGAACCGGTTGGGGCTAATAGTGGTTTCCCCAAACTAACCTAGATAATGAACTTTCAAACTCGAAAGTTTGAAAGTTTATTTCGGCCTATACTTATTTTGCGCCTTTATTGTGTTATTTTAGTTCCTAGTTTACTATTTTATTTTATTTTAGTCAAATTTCATCCCGTGAATAAAACTTGGATTATGTCACTCTGCTATTGCCTTGTTTGTTAAAGGACACTGCTTATTCGAAATTGAAAGTTCTTTAAATTTGAAGGGAATCTATCACCTCATCTTCTAATCTTGGTAACTTTGAAGTTTAGCTATCTTGTAATCTCCGATAAATTCGAACGATTTTTGAAATTGGGGGTTCTTAGGAGGCAAATTGAAGTCAACCACGACCTTGGAAACCGATATCTAGTACATTCTTTGCCCAAACACACCACAATAGTTTAACCTCAACCGAGTGGGCTTATGCTCCCAAGATATGCCAAGACATGCAAGATGTGTAAATTCTGCTTTAAAAGATAAATACCTCCCCCCCCTCCTCTTGTCATGGTACCACTTTTTTATTCATTCCAAGAAGTGCCGGGTTCTGTTTGGAGCTAATTTTTGCAGGTTATTTTGCGTTCGATGCCGATTTTCAGGAATGTGTCACTTCGTTGCCTAACGGGCAGTTGTTTGAAGTGTGTGTGTGTGTGTGTGTGTGTGTGTGTGGTCGTAGCCGGGGCTAGTATTGATCTCCAGTTTGGAATGCTCTTACTTCTTGTATGTAGGATTTGTCTAGCTCTTGATTCAATCACTTCTCTGCCGCATTCATTCAGCGCTTGGAGAGTATTAGGCTTTCCAGCCCTATAAGCCTAAAATTTCATCTCAAGTTAAAATAGGCACAGCAAATATGATTGTGACACATT